TGATCGATTAAATGAGTTAATGACTGAGTGAGTGATAGTTTGAGTGAGTGAGTGAGGGAGTTTTTTAGTAGTGAGTAAGTGAGTGAGTTAAAATGTTAAACATGTAAATATTCTGATAATTAACTATGTATAGGTAGCCTTCACCTAACATATACCAATTATGTTTTTGTCTATACCCCATGCTCAAAGGGGAAGGGTACCCCCACCTTTTTCCGAATGACCCCCCCCCCTCCTCGAGTTTTAACTAAATTCTGATGTATGAATAATTAAACAACAATTGCATAATTTAACAATTAATTTCATAAAACGTTCTTTTGGTTTAATACTATAAAGTTTTTAATAATAATATAACGGTGGGTTAATTCAGAGGGTCAAGGGGGGGTGACTGGTTGTAGTCACACTCTTCCTCTTAAAATGCCTTTGCTGCTACTTAGACTTTTCTGAAAAAATATCTAAATTGTCCAAGACTTATTTGACAAGAATAAGTGGGTTATGGTGAAAACTCCCCTAGTTTCAGTAAATTGTTGATATTGGGCATATAGAATTTAAAAGTGCTTAAAACTCATATTCATAGTGTTAGTCACAAGCAGTACAAAATTTACATAGTTTCAGTCACAAGCAGTACAAAATGTTCATAGTTTCAGTCACAAGCAGTACAAAATGTACATAGTTTCAGTCACAAGCTGTACAAAATGTACATAGTTTCAGTCACAAGCAGTACAAAATGTACATAGTGTCAGTCACAAGCAGCACAAAATGTACATAGTTTCAGTCACAAGCAGCACAAAATGTACATAGTTTCAGTCACAAGCAGTACAAAATGTACATAGTTTCAGTCATAAGCAGTACAAAATGTACAAAGTTTCAGTGACAAGCAGTACAAAATGTACAAAGTTTCAGTCACAAGCTGTACAAAATCTACATAGTTTCAGTCACAAGCTGTAAAAATGTACATAGTTTCAGTCACAAGCTGTAAAAATGTACACAGTTTCAGTCACAAGCTGTAAAAATGTACATAATTTCAGTCACAAGCTGTACAAAATGTACATAGTGTCAGTCACAAGCTATTAAAAATCGATCAGTGAAATCAAAAAAGCCCAGACTAGTTACTTTTTTGATCGACGAACCCAAAATTTATATAAATAAATAATATTATTAAAAACAAATTCGGAAAGTTGCAATATTCAACCCAGATCGTAAAATAATTATTTTAATCCCAAGCAAATCATTCAGATATTACAAACAATAGTCATCGATATTTTTCGACGCATTCGTATACTGTTATATTTTTTAATAATATTTTTTATAATATATTTATTTCGTTTTTCTTACATAATATTTCGCTGGCACTGGATTTTCAAACATTCCTGGAAAATACAAAAATGTCGTCTTCATTATCGAAAATCCTCGAAACAGAAATAAATGTTTTCAAAAGTAACTATCTGATCATAAATAAATAGATTTAAACATTCAACCATTTATTATTGCAAAATCTACAAATAGAAAATAAAAAGTAAAAAATATTCTTAAAAAATTTCCCGAGCCAAACGTCACCAGTTTTTTAAATCAACTTTGGTTTTGGGGCCTTTTATGGGTTGTTTTGTCTCAAGTATTTTTACTTTCAAATTAAAAAAATCTCTTGGTTAAATTGCATTCGCTGAAAGAATGATGCAAGTTTCAACCAATCAATTTCTAGAGCAGGTATAACTCGTGATAGAACATGCAGGGATAGGGGAATGTAGAAATTTTAAATTTTTTCATATTTTTCAAAAGAGTTTTATATTTTAATTCTTCTTAGTAAACGAAAATAAAATACTCTCAGTCAATAACAACAAAAATTTGTTATGCATTTTGCTATTCTTTGCTTTTTTCCTGGATCTTGTCAAAAAGTTCAAAAATATGGTTTAAGCAGTGCATAATTTTAATTGTGTTGAGTGCTGGTGCAAAAACAACCAGTTCGATTTTTAATTCAAAAGTTGCGAGTAATGCAGGAAAATTGAAATTTACTTTAATATCGAAGCCAAAAAACTCAAACTAACTGGAAATCATAATTTTGGAAAAAAATAATTTGATAAAAAAAAACAATGTAACAAGCTAAGCAACAATTATTCAAACATATGTATACGATTATCTTCAGTCAAAAATGAAAAAGCTATTTTAAGATTGCTTCTTGATATCGCGATTTACGATTGTTTTATTACAACTTTCAGTAAATCCTAAAACTGCAAAGTCATTTCTCTTGCGCGCCTATGCAATATGCACTTTATGTTGTTGTGTTCATTACGCAATTGATTAAAAACCAGTTTTGCATTTTTATCCAAAATTATGCAACCAGATCAACCAGATCAGGAAAATGGATAGTTTAATATCTGATAAAAATATTTTAGTTATTTTTTTATTTAAATAATAAATGGAAATGCCCTTCCCATCGCGCGGAAATTCAAATAAAAAACAACGATTTCTAATTGAAAAATTAGTTTTAAAAACGTAGAAGTTTTTACAACTCCCACGTATAGAACTTCAAAAACAAAAACGGATTTATGTTGTTCCAAAAACACAAAACATGTCTTTTAAGCACCTCCATTTTTATTTGTGAGGTTTTGAAAACAAACAATAGTCATAAAAAATAATTTTCCTTGTTTTGCATATCACGCGTCCAAACCGTGATAGCATAGAAAAATATGCTTGAGTACTGTCAGATAAATGAAGAACGGGCGGATTTTTGGTAACGTGAATTTGCAAAGATAAAAGCATAAAAAATGTTGGTTACTTGACAAAGACTTGATTACTTTGTACAATAATAATCTAGTACTAACGTACAGATCAAAATAAAGTCCGTGCTATTCTGATTAATCTGCTGATAAAAAGTATGTTAAAAACAAATATCATAATGTGGTTTCCAACATCTACCACTTCACTAACGTAAAACTTCTTGTTTTTCCCTTTTAAAACTTTAAAATTACTAAGTTCAAAAGTTAAAACCACCAGAAGAAGATTAAAAAACACCAAAAGAATACAAATTCCATGATCCTAAATGTTTGATCGATCTCACATTTATTTCTTTTCTTTTGATTTCCAACATAATGTCCGTTTCTTAATATTATTTCTAATTAAAGTTTTATTCACACATAAGGTAACAAGTCTCGGAATTATAAACTATAATTGAAAATTTTAGAATAAAGCCTACAAACAAACACCAAAGCTTTAAAACAAATTAATAAATATGTAGAGTTAGTTTAACTAAGTATAGATAGATCAACTACTTTACTACACAGAATTAGTTTCCCTATTCGTGGATGGTTCAACTACTTCTTGTTCATATGAAAATCATATTTCTGGTCAAATAAAGAATTGAGCATTGTTAAAAATAGAGAATGTTATAAATATAAAGTTAAAATATAGCACAAATGAATAGCTGAACTACAAATCCATACATTTTAAAAACTAGAAAGTCTCCTAGGTGGATATATAATCTACACTTGTGTCCCAATAAACATGGGAATTGAGTGAAAGCTGTAATCCGTAAGAATACCACGCTAGTTGAAAGTCAGAAAGATGATTAACCGGAATTAGTTGAAGAGCTAGACACAAATCAAGATTAAAATATAGAAAATGTTTAAAAAGTATATAAAAATAGAAAGTTAAAAAAGTGTTAGAAAACTAAAAGCAATAGAAGAGCTCTAGAAAGCTAGATCACTGAAACCGATATAGCTAGCTCAAGAATGCTAGATTTCTAAAAGCTGTAGAGCTAAAGAAGCTGCATATCTAAAATCTATAGATCTAAAGTAAGTTAAATATTTAAAAATCTTTAGATCTATAAAGTTAAAGAAAACTAAATCACTCAAATCTATAGATCTAAAAAAGGCTAGATAACTAAAATCTATAGATCTAAAGAAAGCTGCATATCTAAAACTATAGAGCTACAGAAAGCTAGATATCTAAAAGCATAGAGCTTCAAAAAGCTTGATATCTAAAATCTATAGATGTACAGAAAGCATAGAGCTTCAAAAAGCTTGATATCTAAAATCTAAAGAGCTACAGAATGCTAGATATCTAAAGATATAGAGCTAGAGAAAGCTACATATCTAAAACTATAGAGCTACAGAAAGCTAGATATCTAAAAGCTATAGAGCTACAGAAAGCTAGATATCTAAAAGCTATAAAGCTACAGAAAGCTAGATATCTAAAATCTATAGATATACAGAAAGCTTAGATATATAAAAGCTATAGAACTATAGAAAGCTAGATATCTAAAAGCTATAGAGCTACAGAAAGCTAGATATCTAAAAGCTATAGAGCTACAGAAAGCTTGATATCTAAAATCTATAGATCTACAGAAAGCTACATATCTAAAACTATAGAGCTACAGAAAGCTAGATATCTAAAAGCATAGAGCTTCAAAAAGCTTGATATCTAAAATCTATAGATGTACAGAAAACTAGATATCTAAAAGCTATAGAGCTACAGAAAGCTAGATAACTAAAAGCTATAGAGCTACAGAAAGCTAGATATCTAAAAGCTATAGAGCTACAGAAAGCTAGATATCTAAAGCTAAAGAGCTACAGAAAGCTAGATATCAAAAAGCTAAAAGCTACATAAAGCCATATATAAAGCTAGAAGAAAGCTAGAGAGCAAAAAGTCCGAAAATGTGTAGCGATCATTATTAGATGATTAAATAGATTAGTGCATATTTTTTGCGTTTCAGACGCGAAAGTACAATACAGAATTTGCCAAAGGCGGTCTAAATATGCAAAATGCAACTTTATGAATTTTTTTTTTTTTTTAAATCAAAATATTCCTTACATTATGATCAAATTTTTTTTTAAAAAACTATTTTTTTATTGGTATTTTCTTTTACAGAATTGAAATACCCCTTAATTATATGCATTTAAATGCATCAGTTTAGTAACAACTTGCAAACTGTGATAAAGTCTGGGAGCTGGGGAGTTGCAGTTTTTAGTTCAAGGCGGAAGGTTGCAGTTTTTAGTTAAAGTTTAAGTTTTTTATTTCTTTGTGATTCATCTTAATAATACATAATATATTTGTATGTGAATATTTAAACATTTTTTGAAGTTTTAGCAGCGTTTGTATTCGAGAAATTGTGTTTTGATATGATATATTTTTACAACCTTAAGTAAAATATTTAATTTCGGAACAGTAAAAAAGTTGATGAAGGGATTTCCCCATAAGGTACCTCTAGGTGGCCGTACATAGGTATAATTAAATATACAGGATTTTGTCTGATTTTAGTTTTATTTTCACCAATCTTTTCTGAAATATCACATTTTACCCTTATACGTGAAAATGAAACGAAAATAAACGTAACTCCAAATCTGTTAAGATGAAAGAACAGTCCAATTTTCAACTAACAACTGTGTTGTGAGTAATTTCAGAAAGCAATAAAAAGTTCAACTTCTTAATTTTTCTAATCTTAAAATCATTATTCAATCGTAAAAGTAAAATTTCCGGCAAACGTTTTTATAATATTAGCAATTAGCGTATACATTTGTTCCAATTTACGTTCAATGCCTTTTTTAAATGCAATTGAGTCTTTGCCACAAACTCTGATTTTTCAATCCCAATATCTTTTCAACCCAATGTCGTAGATCTTAGATATTTCAACTAAGATCAAATAATTCAATTTTGAAATATAAAAGAATGACACTAAAAGGTTGAAAAGGGATTAGAAAATTTGAGTTTGTGGCTAGCGATGGTCAATAGCTAGATTCGTTTTACAGAACCTTTAAATATTTTTAGACTTATAAAAGGTTTTACAACAATCTGAGAAGGGATTTAAAATTGTATTCTGTAGAAGTTTGCTTTAAAAAACATTGATAAAACAATTTCCTACAGATTAAAGTGTTAAAATGTTGGAACCTTCTCATATTGTCGTAAAATCTTATAAAAGTTTAAAAACATTAAACGTTTCTATAGAACTAATGTGTCTATTACCCTTCCCTATTTGTGGCAAAGATTTAATTTCTTTGACAAACAATTTATTCTAAGAAATAAATTATCATTATTAACGTTTCTATAGAACTAATGTGTCTATTACCCCTCCCTATTTGTGGCAAAGATTTAATTTCTTTGACAAACAATTTATTCTAAGAAATAAATTATCATTATTAACGTTTCTATAAAACGAATGTGGCTATTACCCCTCCCTGTTTGTGGCAAAGATTTAATTTCTTTGACAAATAATTTATTCTAAGAAATAAATTATCATTATTAAGTTTATTTCCAACCACCTATAATGAAGCAAGAATTAAAAGTATTTAAATATCGTATTTTTTTCAGGAAAAAAAACCCCAGATTGCTAGTGTTCCGTCAAGATGAAATTGAAAGGTAAGCAAAGTGTAAGTTAATAAGGATTTTCTCATAAATAAACTCATTTCGGCATAATCTTTAAATTAAAGCTCTTCACTTATATTTAAACAAATGTTTGGCAATTTCGTAATCCTGGTACTCTGGGTCCTTACAGGGGCTCAATTTTGTATTCTGGGTACTCCGGGTACTTAGGTCCTTACAAGGGCTCAATTTTGTACTCTGGGTACTCCGGACAATACAGGGGCTCAATTTCGTACTTCCGGTACTCCAGTCCTTACAGGGACTCAATTTCGTACTCACAGTACTCTGGGTCCTTACAGGAGCTCATTTTTATACTCGGGGTACTTCGGGTACTCAGGTCCTTACAGGGGCTAAATTTTGTACTCTGGGTACTCTGGGTACTCCGGACCTTACAGGGGCTCAATTTTGTACTTCCGGTACTCCGGACCTTACAGGGGCTCAATTTCATACTCCGGGTACTCTGGTCCTTACAGAGGCTCAATTTCGTACTCCGGATACTCCGGTCCTTACAGGGGCTCAATTTCGGGTACTCCAGTCCTCACAGGGGCTCAATTTCGGGCACTCGGTACTTACAGGAGCTCAATTTTGTACTCTTGGTACTCCAGGTACTCTGGTCCTTACAGGGGCTCAATTTTGGTTACTCCGGTCCTTACTGGGGCTAATTTTCGAAGATTATTTAAAATTCCACGGGCAACGCCGGGCACTTAAGCTAAAATCATTGTTTTGTAATGAATAACAATATAAACCTGGGATTCTGGTTTTTGACTTTATCTACAATATTATAAAGTTCTTCGCTCATGTATAGTTAAAATATTTGTATAATAAAAAGGAAGACGACAGTTTATCAATAATTAATTGTTTTTGATACTTTTACAAAGTTTTACTTATAGACACTTATTAAATCACTAATTTAGTTAAATGGGTTTGTTTGCATTGCACTTTATTACTGTGTATTATGCTCATTGGACTTTTTACAGTTAAAACTTGATTTTAAAAGGCGTATTCCTATTCCATAGATTTCTGGTTATCACTGTATGTTTTCTAAGTTCAACGAAATGCCGACAGAATGCTTTTTAAAACAAAAGAACCGTTACTGAACATCTCAGCAGAAACTAGAGTTTCTAAAACATCTTTTAATTTTATATTTAAAACCTTTAATATTTTAAATTAGACTTTTTAACCTAACAGAGCTGAAAACTTTATAATGGTGGATATCAAGATTAATGCTTAAACTCCTGGTTTTACCAAACCCAAGATTATTTTAAAACGCATTCGATATCCAAGAAAGAAGTTACAAAGGAATTGAGTTTTTGCCACACACTCAAATCTTCTGATCCCAATATCTGTGCAACCAGATGGTGCAAACCTTAGATATTTCAAACTTAGATTATTTAATCTATAAGTATTAATAGTTTGAAATATCTAAGGTGACATTGGGTTGCAAAGATATAGAGAATAGAAAATCAGAGTTTGTGGCAAAAACTTAAATCCTTTAACCAATCAGCGTGTCATGTTAAGGTGTACTCTTAAGTTTTGAAAAACCGGTTTTGATTTCTGGTGTTGAGGGTGTCATATCAATTGAACTAAACATCAATGACACAAACGTAAGTTTTGGATTAATGTTTATTAAGACTAACGTTCAAAATGACAATAGTCCAAAAATATGTTTTTAATAATTTTATATCAACATGATTAAATTTATATTTGCTTAAATGCTTTAAAAGCCGGCTTGTGATCAGCTGACTTTAATTCAATCGGATATTAGTCCAATCGATATAGCATCGTTTCTGTAATTGTTATTAAACGTAACTTTTACACAGTAGAAATATCCCAAAAAAAGATTAAGAAGAAAAATCAAAAGTGTGTACGTTGGATAATCAGATTAAGCGATCGTGATTATGGATATCTCATTCGAAAGTTTTCAGCTCAGAATTCATAGTTTAAAATATCCAAGGTTCAGCTGACAGCTAGTTGCAAAGATATGAGTAAAACTATAGAATTTGTGGTGAGTGTTCAGCTCCTTAGAAACATATTTTACAAAATAAAGTTTCAACAAAGTTCAGACATTGTTTCACTTCTACTAATGAAAAGTATTACTAATATTAAAATTGAGAGAATAAGATACCTTGTTACATTTTTTAGATCAATTAATTTTTGGGTTTTTAAATTCCCTAATAGATGTAGCTATTCCTCAAATTTTCAGAAAAATGAAAACATTTTGAAATATTTTTGTTAAAAAAGTAAGTTATCAAAAAATAACTTTAACCTTAATCTTCAAACAGGGAACATTCCCTTTAGTTGTGTCCAATGACAAGAGCATAAGCTATAAGTACTTCTGAGATGAATGTGTATGATAAATCTTGTCTATTTGTCTTCCTGGGGAAATTACCCCCATTTGGGAGACCTGCATGCTTGGAGTATGCTCAAAGAAAATTAAGTATCAAGAGATAATTTTGGATTCAGAATAAATCTCTTTTTACGATTTCAATCAACGCAGCGCTATTCAATAATTCGTTAAATATTGTTCGCGCGATTGAATGTAGAGCATCTCTTTCAAACCGTCCTTTACATTCTACTCTTAGCTCTATAATACTTGTAATGGCCGAAATTAGGCACTTTCAGCACAGAAAATGTTTAAATCGTTGGAAATAAATCATCCAACTGTTTTTTTTTTCTCTCTTCAAAATATATCAGATGATTCGTCTTTTTTTTTCTAATAAAAACTCTTCTTAAACTAGGAAAATGGTTTAACCCTATAATTGAACATAAAGGTTAACATGTACATTTAAAGAAGAGGGGGATTTTTGTAGACGTCATTTTAAGCATGAATGAAAATGCAGAAACCAATTAATGTACATTTGTCAAGTCGATTTTCTAACTCCTTGTGCAAAGTTCAAATAATCAAAAAATATTTAGCAATATGAAAAACATCACGCAAAACATTCAAAATGGCTCTTTTGATATAAAAAGGGGTTCGAGAATACTAATAATGATAAGCCCAGCCAAGCGCGCGATTCCTTCCATTTCATCCTACAAGAGGGGCGGGGCGCATGGGGGCGTGGTCCACGGCCCCCCCCCCCGGTTCGGCCCTAACTTGTATGCTAAAAATGTTATTGATGTATCTTAAATTTGTTAACCTTATTTTGGTTTTTTGACATAGCATAAGTTGGAAGAATTTAAATTGTAATTTTTTGACTAAAAAGCATGGTTCCCAGCAAGATATGTCACTATCTCTGTTACAGTTAAACACTTTTGAATTTACGAAATAAAGTTTTTGAATTTTCAAAAAATCCATTATCATATACAAAAGTTTTTTGTGCTCCAATTGAGAATTTCTATTTATATGCATGATAAAAATTTAACATCCAATATGCCTCTGTTTATGTGATGAGTGAATTGACTTGGAATGAAAGGCCAAAAACGGAAATTATATCGCAAAAACAGTAAAAATAGCCATGTTTTTATTTCTTTTTTCACTTTAAAAAGCTTATTTGATAACTAAACGGAGAGTACTAGACACAGTTAAATTAAATGGTATGTAAACCAATATCTAAAATCTTTATACATCATCCAACTCGAAAGAAACAAATTCTAAACCTTAACAAGATTATGTTTAAGCTTAAGCACGTGAATTTAATGGTTCTGTCAATATTCCAGAAAGCTAGAACTTTCGATCACAATTACTCCTATTTAACATAATTTTTCAGCCTTCTTTCCTAATTACTTTTTTGCCGGCATATATGTTTTGAATAAAAAGTATTTAACAAACAAATCTGTAACTTTAAAGATTGTCAAAATATAAACCAAAACGAGTATGATTTCAAATTGAAGAAACTGAATGCCTCTAACTCTGGTTAGTCAGGGGTGAGATATATATAGTGGTCGTGGGCTGTCATCATCCCCTCCCCCTCCGAACACCCCATCTATACGCCCTTGATATGAACAAAAATATGAAATGTTCCTTAAAGACAAATCCAATTCGGAAAATATGTTACAGTCTATAAAACAAAATATGCGTTGGTTGGTCTAGCTTTCCATCCTTCTTTCAAAAAAAATTTCCACAGATGACATAAGCCGTGGAGGGATAGTCTAGCTCTGTTGCAGAAATGTGGATTTTTCAAAAACTTTATAATTGTAAATTATTTAAACAAAATTCATGTTTTACCAAGGTATAAGCTCTTATGTTTTGGATAAGTATTGTTATGCCCATCGGATAATTTTTCAAGTTTACTGATGAAAAACTGTCTACTGTTTACATACCCCAGATCTGTGTACACAGATGCCGCAACTCTCATTTATTCGATGTACTGTATGTCACTACATGATCTATACCTAACACCGATTCCCTTCTGTCCCTGATCTCTGTCCTTATTGCAAAGACGACATATTACATCCCTTGGTCAAATATGAATTAGATATTAATATTTTTGTTTCTTTAAACTGTTTTTTTATTTGCGCATTTCTTGTTTAAAAAAGCAATGGAGAAACTCAAAGAAATAAAAACTTTTATTAGATTATGGTTTTAAGGATACCATCATAAATCGGGCATTGTCATATGTTCCACACTCCTGGATGCCGAGTCCATTAGCACTTGATCCAATCAGGGTTCAGTCATGCGTTTGTTGTCTATTCTGAACCAAAAGAAATAGTATGGCGGTAACGTCTATCTTTCTATCTATCTCATTATCCAATTAGAGATATGAATCTCTTAATCGGCGCTATTAGTAAATGGGAATATTTACTTCTACTGAAACTAGGGTGTCCAATGAGGGTCACTTAAAATTGCGCTTACAATCCCTTTAAAAGATTGCACTCAAAACTGGTTTTCAAAAAAAAAATTTTGGATGTTTCAAATAATAATTTTAAATAGTCATAAAAGTAACTTGAAAGTAAAAAAAATGTGAACCTTCATATTTTAATTTAGATTTTTTTAAATTTAAATATTTGCATCTAAAAGAATTGACTTTTCCACAAATTGGAACTTTCTAATGTCTATATCTTTGCATTTCGATGATTTGAAACTTTTATTTTTTAAACATAGATAATTTGATCCAACAGAATTCAAAGTTTTAAATTAAAAGGTCTACAACATTGGGTTGCAAAGAATATAGGGATACGAAAATTAGAGTGTCAAATGCTAAATTTCTTAATTGCATTTTAGATCATTGGCGATTTATTTTCATTTTGATAGATAATGTTTTCATAGTAGAAAAAATAGGAATGATTCATACCGTTACAATCAATTTATTTCGTAATATGTTTTTGCTAAGTCAAAAAACGCAACCAAATAATATTTTTTTTTTAAATTTGCTGACATTTTAGTTATTTTGAGCTACAGTAAGCTTCTGCTAGTAAAATTAAATATTCAATTATTTATAGAAATTAAAGTATTCATATAAATCTGCTGTATCAGCACAACACAACTCATTGTGTTGATATATTAAAGGGACTGTAAGCGTAAGTTTAAGTGACCCTCCTCCATGTAAAAATGGAACTGTCCGATTCACATTGGTTCCCTTGAAACCTTTATCTGATCAATAATTAAAAAAGATATTTTTTTTTCTAATCAAAAAGTGTTGTAATAATTACCGTTTATTTACCGGCAGTAGAGAAACCACACGGGGAAATTATAAGTGTTAAAAATGGTGTTCCCTCTCGCAGATAGAAAAACTTTGGTTTGAAAATTAATTTTGATTTATATTTTTTATCCTCATCAGTCCTTAAAGCATTTGGTGGTATTAAGAAACATTGATATCTAATAACAGCTTGATCAGACAAAGCTTTAAAAAGGCTACTGCAGTGTGAATCAGGCATTGCCATCACTTGAAATTACGCTTACAGTCCCTTTAAAATATTCTATAACCTTTACAAATGTGATATTTGAGCTTGGAAACTTAAATCAGATAGATATATATAATAACTGTGGAGTTTTAAACTAAAAACCGGTTTTATTTGATGAGTTGTGTGGTTGTACCTTACAGCAGACCATCCGCACTTTTATATAGCCGAGGTCATGAGGATTAATCCTATTCTTGCTGGTGGGGGGGGGGGTCAATTTGACCCCCCCCTGTAGTTTTTTTTACATAACTCAAAAAGTATTGGTCTGAGGCTGTTGAAATTTTCTGACTTTTCCTACATATCCAAAGCCCTCCCTTTAGTCCTAAAACCGGGCTTTAATACTAACTGACTGAGTCCTCAGGCACACTGCCTGAATGACTGCTTTTTCCTGTAAGAAACTAAATCTTTGTTTTGACCCACTTCCACTTGTCAGATTTTGATAAAATTCAGCTTTTTGGAAAGCCTTTGACATAAGGAAACGAATTGCAAAAGTTTTGCGAAAAAAATTGCAAATTTTTTGCAAACAACCTGTCAAAGGAAATTTGCACATTTTTAGTTTTTCTTGATTAAAAATCACGTTATTTAAAATTTTGCAAAAAAATTTGCATATTTGAAATGGCATGGTCAAGGGCTTTTCAAAAATATATAATTTTTCATTTTTTGGACAATTTTTTTTTTGCAAACATTTTTACTATATAAATGGATTTTGCAATAAAACATTCAATTTTTGCAAATTTCAAATTTTTTTGCAGATTCTAAAAGTAGAGCACAAGAGCTTTTCAATGATGTATCATTTGTCATATTTGGATATCAAATTGACCCCCCCCCCCCCAGGCTTATCCTGGTTTTCAAGTACCCCAGCAGAGATAGGGTTAAATAGTTGGGACTTTTTAATAATGAGCAGTAGTAATCTTTAAAATAAAGATTGATTTGTAAATACCGTGCTACATTTCTAAATTTGGCAACCCGACATTGAAGACCTTTGACATTTCAAAGTGTGGATTCTGTTAGATCAAACAGTCTAAGCCTTTAAATATTACAGGTTTACGGCTTCATGTAGCAAAGTTAAGTAAAAGGAAAGAGTTCTTGGACAAATAATAATTATTTAAAAATGATCTAAGCTTTGCTTCAAAATTATATTTTGCAAAAACATATAAAAAAGTAAAACTTATATATATTTAATGTATAGTTAAATGAAATAATAACTTACAAGAATGATTAATGTATGTTTTTAAGAATTTAATATATTAAATTAGTAAAAATCACGAAAATTCATCCAACAAAGATCAATAATTTGTACAGACTTGATAAGGTGTAAATACATATATTGATTTTAGATATTGTGTAAGATTACGAAAAAAATAGTATTTAATGAAATTTGATGATTTTGGTAATACTAAGAACATTAGAGGTTTTCTATTTACAGTAAAAAAAATATTAGTATCACTGTTTAAAGGGTGGATACTGTGTATGTATTGTATAACTACCCGTATATGGAGGGTAAATTACCTAAAATATGTAATATTTCATGTTTAGGGCGTGCACAATCACTGAGGTGCATGGACAGGGTGTCATAACAATATGTCATCAATAAAAATCTGTAGTTATTCAAATATTCCTTTTCTTTAATTTCAAATTCTTTTTTAACCAAATCAAAATCAACCAAAAAAAGTCACTTGCTTTTATCAGAACACCCTGCATGAAAGATCGTGAGAAATCCCAAGTAAAAAACTCATTAAATCAATTCAAGAATTTCACTATTTGAGGCTTGTCACCAAGCATGACAAGAAGAAATCCCAAAACTGATATCAGCTCAAGACCCTGCTCCCTGCTCGATCATCAGGGGTAAAAGTCAAGTTAATTTCTTCAACCGATTTAAAAAAAAAATTAAACCCAATTTTTAAGTAATTGCTCAACATACGCTGTAAACTCTGCTCTTTATAGACAAAAAATACAAATTTAAAAAAAATTAGATGGTATTAAACAAAATTCAATTTTTTACAAAACAAATTATGAGGTGTTGAACAATATACAAATGTTTAAAAAATAAATTCATATTTTTCATATTTTCATATTTTTATTCAACTACAAAGCACGAGATAATACAAATAAAAAAATCACAATTTACTATGTAGTTTGGACCCGGCTAACCAGAGTAGGTTGTTTTAATTGGTATTAAACAAAATACAAATTTAAAAAAACAAATAAGGAGGTATTAAACAAAATACAAACTTTGAAATTAAAAAAAAGGAGGTGTTAAACCAACAAAATAAAAAAAATTAGGAGGTATTAACAAAATTCAAATTAAAAAAAGGATTAAACAAAATTAAAATTTTAAAAAACAAAATAGGAGGATTTAAACAAAATACAAATTAAATAAAAACAAAATAGGAGGTATTAAACAAAATACAAATAAAAAACAAACAAATTAGGAAGTATTAAACAAACTAATAACACATTTGATCATATACAAGACAAAGAGGTATCCTCATTCATAATATAATCTGAAATGAGAACTTTTTTATTTTGAAAATATTATCTGAATTTTGAGACTCGGGATCAAGCATTATATCTATATCTTGGATATCTAGATAAAGTGATCAAGATTAACAATACTAACAAAAGTACAGAACTCTGACAGTTTTCAAGGATGTCAATGATCGTTTTACCTCTAAATCTGAACCGGCGGCTATCGTTGTTAAACAAGGTCGGATTTGATACCGTGCATACATCAAGAGCATGAACACTCGATCTAGAAATAGACCGGGGGCTTTGATTTAATTGAAAGAAGATGAACCCTCTAGACCCCTCCCNGAAACTATACATGTTGCTCTGTATTTAGAAACTATACATGTTGCTCTGTATTTAGAAACTATACATGTTGCTCTGTATTTAGAAACTATACATGTTGCTCTGTATTTAGAAACTATACATGTTGCTCTGTATTTTGAAACTATACATGTTGCTCTGTATTTAGAAACTTATTTTTATGTTTCAATTGACGAAAATCAATCATTGTCATTTTTAAAATGGTAAAGATTATTATACTTATATTAATGTACAAATTCTTAAAAGACTAAAAAAAAAAATTTGTCCACCATTCTAACATTGCTAAACTGTAGAGGTCCAATAGGTATTAACTTCACCCTGTAAATGTATAGATATTTTTGTATTTGTTATTGTTTACATTTTGTTCGGCTATAAATGATAAATGTATCAAAGTCTGTTACGATTTTGTTTACGGATTTTGGATGAGAGATTAAGATAAAAATGAAAATTTTACAATACAGACAGGATGGATGTAATTGTTGTGGTTCTAGTTTTACCTGGCATAACCACTGTCATTTATTTAACTTTGGAATGTAGTTTATTATGATTTGTATACAGGGGAATAATTAGATTCTTGTCAGTTTTGAGCAAAAAGATTCTACATGTTGAAAAATCCAAATAGTATCCTTAAAATCCTAAAAACACCACACTTTCCTAATTGTAAAAAACTACGGTGCAGTGAAGATGAGTGAACAAAAAATATAAAAAATAGATAAATGCATGCACTGCTTTTGGATAATTTCTTGTAATTAGTTCTCAATAACGACATTAACTTGCATTTTTAAACCGCTTATCATAAATGATTTGGCAAAATGTTCATGATTTTTTTTTACTTAGAATATATTTACTGCATTTTACAGCTTATCAATACTTTGCATAGAAATAGAACAAAAAAATATTTAACGTGACACTTAACCCTTCATTCCCTTGTGTGTGTGTGTAAGTAGGGGGGGGGGGGGGGGAGGGATTAGAAAAATACTTTTCAAAGAAATTACTTGGATAAATTGCGAAAACAAACTTTGCTCGTAAACCTGCCAGGTATGTTTAGAAATTTGCAAAAATACATCGCAAAAAATATAAAATGTTTTCGCAGTTTTGCTAAACTTTCAGGTGTACTATATATTTTTAAAATAAATTATGCAACACTATTTAGTGCTTAATTCTTCGAATAAAAGCAATAAAATGAGACATTACAGCACTGTAAAGAGTTAATGGACATTTTTTTTCATACAGACTTTTTGTGAGTCAATTAAACTTAATTTTTATTTTTTTAAATGTTTGGAATCATGAATTTATTTGAAAGGATTTAAATTTAAATTCGAAAAACTGTAATTTTTGTTTTTGTTAACCCGTTTCTAGCAAAATAGATGAATGTTTGATGTAAAAATCCCTAAAATCTCCCCAAATCCTCGAAATGCATATTCGCATTGACAACTTGCAAATTTAAGAAAAAAATGGCGGGAATGAGTGCATTGCTTTACTATGCAACATTCACGCAACCCTGGAGGCTGTGCATTTTATTCTCATAAAAGTTTTTAAAAATATTCACAAGATGTTTCCAAGATGTTTAGATAAGTGTATATTTTTAATAATAAAGTTGTTAACCCTATCACGATTGGAGGGAGTGTCCCCCCCCCCATCCCCTATGGTTTATTCTAAATTACTCAACGGTTTACATTAGAACGCTAACATGTCTTCACTTTTTCAACGTCATAATTGTGAAAAAATTTTGCCAAAATGTTTTTTATGCATAGGGTAGGGTGCAGGAGGACAATCAAATTTATGTATACGAAAAAATCTTAAAAAATAGATTTAAAAATATGTCACACATGTTAATAGTTGTCAAAAGTATTGAAAAAAAATCTTAAAATCTTCTTTGCGACCTAACCCTATCTTAACAACAAAATTATACGGTGGGCCTCTTTCTCCCCAAATCTTTTTTAAACGAAATAGCCCTATTGGGATAGGGTTAAACACTTTGTTAATTGTGAGAATATTTTTGACTTCCAAAATTGGAAATATTTCAATAATTTCCTTATGAGCTTGTCAAGAACTTTTGTAGACTAGAGATGATCTCTTGAAAATCATTGTTAAAATCTCAGAATTTGGACCATTAAGATGACGGAAAGTTGGCGACGAGGTTAAAAGTATTAAAAGGACTTATGGCTTAATGTGCTGCTTTTTGTTGTTTGTCCATTGTAATTTTCAAAGGATTTTTTATTCTGGTTTGAAATGTCTAACTTTTATAATTTAAAGTATGCGGCCCGGGCCATAACATTTTATTTTCAAAATACAGAAAAAAACTCTGAGGCCGAATGTAAAGAATTTGATATGCGGCTCAAATTTAAGCCGCGGCTCAAATATGGATGGTTCTAATTACATTGTATTAAATTTTTCACGATTTAAGCCGGCGCTCAATTGATCCGGTTTTTGGCAGATTTAGGCGGCGGCTCAAATTCATTGAATTTGGACACAGGATTTCTTTAACTGCAAATGTTTATATTTGTTTTGATCTTTTACAACTGGTATTTTTTTCTCAAAAAGTTCCAATTTCGATAATATTTACAATCCCGGCAATATGATGTCGCAAAACGAACCTGCATACATATATGTTATGCTTTTATAAGGCTTTTACATATTTTAGTTCAAAATTCACCAGAACTGATTTACGAAAAATAAATTATTTAAATTCAAAATTACGTTGTTAAAGTTTTCAAGTATTTAGTACGGCCAGCCTCCGTTAAATCGTAAAAATTAATAATTAAAAAGATTTGAAAGCTTTAAAAGTTTGGAAACAAATGAGTTTCTGTTTTGGCAAATAAGAATTGAATAATTAAGTACCATTAGTATTTCTTTTTTGCGAGGGGGGGGGGGTACTAAAGAGATTTGTAGATTTTATCATAATCTTTTAACAAAATACGTTTTTTACTGTATTATACATACATTATACATATATGCATGCAGTGCATACCAAAAAATTTAAAATTTATTCGAATCAACTCCTTTTCTCCACTTTTAATTCCCTTAACCTGGCTGTTAATATGCAAGATTTGTTTGGGAGAGGAGTTAATAGAGTTTAGAAACATTAAGTTTAATCTTTTAATTTCAATTTTCTTAAAACAAATACAAAGTTGTAGTTTGAATATATTTAGTAGAAGTTAAGCCCCGACTTTAACTGCCTAGCTGCCTAGTTGCGCAAGCAGATTTTTCAATTCTAAGATTCCTAAATTTAAATTTGCAACGTTTTATGCCCAAGTGTGTCTTATCTGTTTTCAAGTCTGCTCCTTTCAGTGTCACAGCCTGCAAACATTCAAATACTGCAACAAAATAAATTAGGACAGTGTGAGTTAAGTTGACATGAATTTGTCCGTTTTTGAACTAACACGCTTTATTATATCTAAATGATTGAAAAAATAAGTTATTTTGAAACTATACATGTTGCTCTGTATTATGAAACTATACATGTTACTCTGTATTATGAAACTATACAACATGCTCTGTATTTAGAAACTATACATGTTGCTCTGTATTTTGAAACTATACATGTTGCTCTGTATTTAGAAACTATACATGTTGCTCTGTATTTAGAAACTATACATGTTGCTCTGTATTTTGAAACTATTCATGTTGCTCTGTATTTAGAAACTTTACATGTTGCTCTGTATTTAGAAACTATACATGTTGCTCTGTATTTTGAAAAATGTGTTAAAATTGTTCACTGCCTTGATTTATCAGTAAGAAAAGTACGTCCATATTTGCAAGAATATTTAAACAAAAGTTGCACTTTATCCAATATGAATTTACAAAATTTTTGCATAAATTTTGTTATCAGCGCATTGCATTTTTTATATTAATCTAGCATTATTGAATAGATAAGAAAATTTTAGCATTTTCATATTATTGTAATGTAAGCGTAAAATCACGTGACCCTTCCTTCCTTCCTTCACAAAGGGTCCACATTGAAACCTTAATCTGATCAGAAATGTGGAAGATATTGTCGTTTTTTCTGCCTCGAAAAGTGTCATTTATTTTAACTCCTCCATTGTTTCTGATAAGCAAGAAATGCTCAATTAAGTTTTCAGAGAAACTGAAAAATAAAAGAAATAAAATATAAAGAAATATTAATACTAATAATATTAATTCGCTTGAAATTATGCTTAGAAAAAGCAAAAGTAAAGTTGTCTTTCGTAAATCTTTTAATTAGTAAAGTTTTTTTTAGATTTTTTTAGCCCTTTACATTTTCAGAGACATATAAGAGACAATAATTCATCATTACAAAATTCATTGAGCCTTTGAAGACGACAATTTAAGTGGGGAAAAGGCATTGCTGTCCTGCATATTTACGAGAAGTTGTCCTTATTTACCATTTTATTTTGGGGAGCACCAAATATTTGAAAAGTCATCTTTATTTACCATTTTATTTTGGGGAGAACCAAATATTTGAAAAGTCATCTTTATTTACCATTTTATTTTGGGGAGAACCAAATATTTGAAAAGTCATCTTTATTTACCATTTTATTTTGAGGAGAACCGAATATTTTAAAAGTTGACTTCATTTACCATTTTATTTTGGGGAGAACCAAATGCTTGAAAGGTCGACTTCACTTACCATTTTATTTTGGGGAGCACTGTATATCTCTATGAAAAATAAATTGTCCCTGACATGCATACTGTTCAGCCGGCATTTTCTGAAATCCCATTTCTTGTTTTTTTTTTTTGACAACAATGTACTGTAAGTACTCAGCCCGTTAGGGTCCCCCAGTACAATGTACTGTAAGTACTCAGCCCGTTAGGGTCCCCCAGAAAGTTTGCTGTACTATATTAAACCAATAACATGGATAATTATTAAACTATTTTGCTCCTTTAATGTCCAGGGTTGTTAAAAAATAAACAAAATAATGATAATGATGATGATAATAATAATAAGCTACAATATTTACAAAAAAATGAAATTTTTTAAAAATATAAAAAATATTCTTACGCAAAATAAACCTTGTTGCTCAACAGCTAGCGGTTTCTAAATTGGGTTTCTATAATGTTTGACTCCCATTTTTGCTAAGCTTGAAATCTTTGTTTCGCTGTGTTAAATTGTAACTGTAACGGCAGTGCCAAAATTAGAATTTGCAAGCTAAGATTTTTAGATATGATTTTGCAAAATGCAAATGGTCGATATGCAATAATCTAGCTGATGTTTAAACAGTTACAATTCCCATATATGAATGCTAGCTGAAGGGTCCCAAGTTGCCCGTGGAATTTTAAAAAAAACTTTTTTTTTAAATTTCGATTTTTGAGAAAAAATTTCGATTCTTGAAAAATACAAATTTTAGAATTTTTTAGCCCATTCGGTCCAACCGTTTGGTCGGCTAAAGGAACCATATATACGAATATCTTGTTTTATTATATAGATTACTCAAGGGCATCTACCAGTTGTACGAGGGAGGGAGGACAGAGCCACCATGAACCCCGCAAAATGGTCTCCAAGCCTCTGTATTATCACATGAGTATTTAAAATGTCCTGGCGCTACCCAAAAACGATTGAATAAATATCAAAGAAGTAATAAAAGTTTGGAAGAAAGTAATTAATATAACATTTATGCATTGTTTTCTAGAGTATCAAAAAAACATTGCATAACTGTTTAAATATTAAATATCTTTTCTTAACATTATTGTAAATTACTTCTATAGGATCTATTCTGAAGGATAGGGATTGCGCCATTCTGAATACTCATCTGTGAATCCAGAGTCTTGGAGACCATTTTTCTGGGCTCATGGCGTCCCTGCACCCCCTCCCTAGTTGTACATATAAAAGGTTGTAAAGCGGCGCCTTGTTGCATTCCCTATAAATATATTATGCAAGCATGGCTAGAGAGAGGTGCAATAAAATGTGCAATTGCATTTTTAGACTCTGCACAAGTGTATAATAGACTATAGACCTATTTTTACAGCTGGTGTTCAGTTAGAAATAAAAATACAGACAAAATAATCAAACCTACTTTTTAGTGTTAAAAAAGATAAAAGTTAGCTTTCAAACAAATATTCTTGAGGTATGATTTAGAAAAGGATGAATTGAGAGTATTTGGTATATAAAACAAAAATCAATCATGTTCTGTAAACATGATTTGTTTGGTTTGGAGAAAAAGTGAACCAATTAAAATTAAAAAGATTGGAACTATTTCTAAGCAATCATTTACTTTTATATATTTTTGAAGTAATTAGTGTAATAACTTTAATTTCTAGGTCAAAGTAGTAGTTTTCTGATACTAAAAACACAATTTTACAAAACTACAAACATTTTCAACTTTAATTTTAGAGATAAAAAAGTATATTTCTGCAAGGGGATGTGTCAAAATAAACTACTGAGTTGTGTCACTGCAGTGTGCACGTAAGACAAATGTCAAATATCTTAAAAGGACTGTAAAGGAAAAATGAAAGGGGGTATATGATGAAACCTGAGAATCTCAGGCATTGAACAATACATATAAGATTTCCGTCTGTATCATGTGACAATGATACTGCACTGACATTGGCTGAGGTTCCAGTGACGACATACGGACTATAGGGACTATTTGTAATAATATTATCAACTATATCTATTGAAAATACAAAATAAAATAAAAATATATTGGGAGCAAGCTTGAGATTCTCAGGCTCCTGTGGGATATTGTGGTTTTCAGATTGATTTCGTATTTGCTGGATATGATCTGTTTATTTATACCAACTACTTCAATAAAAAATTGTATATATGTACTTTTGTAAAATTTTGACACAGTTTCATATAAATTTCTCGAGACAGGAGCATCAGATAGATGTCTTATGTGTCTTTAACCCAATCAAAAACGGGCTCTTTAATTGTCTAAGTGGAAAATGCAAATCAAACCCAATTAAAACCAATAATTTGATATACATCATGATATTTTTCTAGGGGGGGTAAAAAATTTTCTAGGGGGGTAAAAAAAAATTCGCCGCGCTTCGCGCGCCAAATTAAAAATATTTACCCCCCCCCCACAGAATCCTTATGTCCGCCCCTGTACGTATCCTTAATATCGGCTTCTATTTCAACTCAGCACAAATACGACATTAGAATTACTTTAAACAAAACAATCTACATATTTTATAGCTTACACTGTGACTTGTGCTTATTGCTTTGTAGCTTCTACTTCATTTTACAGTTCGAATATGCACAGATTTTATTTGATTAGAAGGATATTTGAGCAGTTTGGATTCAGATACAACTAAATTTAAGAAGAATTTGTTTTGAGTTTTTGTATTTGAATGTTTGCAATAGCACAAGGGCCCAGGCAGTAAACAGGGGGGGTGGGGGGCAGGCAGGGGGGGTAGTAAACAAATAGATATTTATAAAAATCATGAGTTTGCAATTGTGGAAAAAAAATAGAAATAAACATTTAATTTTCTTCTTTTTCTCATAAAGTTTTTTCCTGCCCATGCCCCTCTTTGCAAATTTGCACACAACTTGCATATTCTTTATTCAAACTAGTTGATGTATGCATCTATCTATCTATCTATCTATCTATCTATCTATCTATCTATCTATCTATCTATCTATCTATCTATCTATCTATCTATCTATCTATCTATCTGTCTATCTATCTATCTATATAATATATCTATCTATGTATCTATCTATATAACGTGCCGTAGGCACGTTATATAGATAGATACATAGATAGATATATTATTTATATATAGATACATATACAGATATAAGATCGGGAGTCAAAGTTAGATCTATCTATCTGGTTGGATGTATCTATTTATCTTGATCGGATAAATATTATAACAACATAGGAATAGCATTTCAAAAGTTAGTGGATTTGTGGATTGTGATTGTGTGAGGTCACATACACACTTAGATTAAGCCTGCTTATTATTTGGCTCATCAATTTTTAAGAAAGGGTCGACTTTAAATTGTTGCAGCGCCTTGGGCTTTGATTTTAATATCTAATTCTCCTTTACTTTTCTGTAGTAATTTTCATGTACATTTTTGCACTATAAACCACTTGTTGTTAGTTTTGGTTTTAAAGAAGTAATTGGCATAATTTTCGTCGATTTTTGTTTGAAAGCTTGAGACTTTTAAATCACAGTGAGCACACAATTCGGGCCCCTGATAGGTTCAGCCGTTTTGACTTTTATTGGATACAAACAGACAGACTTTGTGTCCTCCTAGCTGCTTTAAAAATGATTTTATGTTCAAATTTATCTGGTAACAAATTCGAAACTAATTCCAGTTTTATGAAGATTTTTATCTAACGTACAATTTAAAATTATTTCACTTTCTTTAATTGCATGGTTTTTTTCAAATGTCTGGGTGTTAGCTAAAATATCACCCTGGACTAACAAGGACGATTTCTCTTATTACAATTCAATACAGTTTTGGTCTAAAATTCAACAATTTTTAAACTGACAAGATTTCGAAAATTTTATGAAGCTTAAAAGTTTATTCATATAATCATTCTATCAAAAAACATAAATTTCTATACACAAAGCTAGATGGTTTATGTTGGTTAGATGCGCACAAGGATCCCATCGTGGCATGACAGTTTAACTAGATTAGAGGTAGATCCTTTGTCAGGGATTTTCCGTAGTTTTCAGGATGTATTGCCAGAGAACCAGTAAAGGCTTCAACAAGGGCTCCTAGTAAACACTTTATGAATATATGCATCTCATGGATGTGCAAAAGATACGTATTTTAACATTTGACAAATATTTACCTATAAAAGTAAGAAATCTCTTCTACTTCAGGGACATCTGATTGCTGAGCGTTCAATCCATTACCAAAAGCTTGCTTGGAAAGTTTTAGTTTAGTCTGTAAAGCAACTTGAAAGAACTTAAAGTCAGGATGCTTATTCATGTCAAACCCGAGAATATCCGACACAGCGACACTTAATCTCGAGCCTAAAAATGGGACGAAATAAATCATTTAGTTTAGTTTTTTGAAAAAGGATTACTATGAACTCCTGTGTTCCCCTGGTTCCTCTGGTCCACTGGGTCCCCTGGGTCTCCTGGTTCCCCAGGTTCCCCTGGTTCCACTGGTTCATCTGGTTTCCCTGGTTCCTTTGATTCCCCTGATTCCCCTGGTTCCTCTAGTTCCTGGTTCCCCTGGTTCTCCTAGTTCCCCTGGTTCCACGGGTTCCTCTAGTTCCTATGGTTCCACGGGTTCCTCTGGTTCCCCTTGTTCTCTTGGTTCCTCTGGTACCCCTGACTCCCCTGGTTCCCATGGTCTCTATGGTTCCCCTGGTTTCCTTGGTTGCCATGGTTGCCCTGGTTCCCCTAGTTCCCCTGGTTCCCCTGGTTCCCATGGTTCCTCTGGTTTCCCTGGTTCCCTGGTCCCTCTAGTTCTTGGTTCCCCCTGTTCCCCTGGTTCCCTTGATTCCTCTGATTCCCCTGGTTCCTTTGGTCCCCCTGGCTGCCCTGGTTTCCCTGGTTCTCCTGGTTCTCCTTGTTACCTGTGGTTCCTCAGGTTACCCTGGTTCCCCTGATCCTACTGATTGCCCTGGTTTCCCTGGTTCTCCTGGTTCCCCTGGTTCTCCTGGTTCCCCTGGTTCTCCTGGTTCCCCTGGTTCTCCCTGTTCCCCTGGTTCCCCTGGTTCCCCTGGTTCCCATGGTTCCTCTAGTTCCCCTGGTTCTCCCTGTTCCCCTGGTTCCCCTGGTTACCATGGTTCCTCTGGTTCCCCTGGTTTCCCTGGTCCCTCTGATTGCCCTGGTTTCCTTGGTTGCCCTGGTTCCCATTGGTCTTACCAATGGCATGCAATGTTGTAGTATCCATTATTCCTCCATCCTCCTTAGTTCTCTCAAGAATGTAGCTTCCCAGGTACTGCGATAATTTATCCAGTTCAATCTTGTCCAGGTTCTGAGATTTTCCGCGTTCTTTTATATAGTTCAAGAAGCGATGAAATTCTCTTTCTCTATATTTTTAACAGTCTCAGCCCCCTAGTGAAATTATGCATAAAATTGGATTGAAAATAATCTATTTTTTAAACTGAATTAAAGGAGCCAGAGCCCAGTCCAGAAAATGCCCTCCGCCCTTTCCTTCTATTTTTGGCCCAAATTTGTTCAGTGCGTGGAATGTCCCCATCCCCACCCCCAGTTTCGATGCAAAGGCCAATGGAAGGTCCCCAAATCTCCAATTTTCCAGGCGGGATGGCTCCCCAGTCCCCTTCTTACCCAACCTCTATGTTGGTCTCAATTCTCGAGTTTATTCATGTGAAAACATCAGAATATACAAAACAAACGCTTGATATGTTACATAAAATTATTCAAAAATGATACTTGCCTGTAATAGATAGATAGATAGATAGATAGATAGATAGATAGAAGATAGATAGATAGATAGATAGATAGATAGATAGATAGACCTCTTTTTTTAATTTTGATTAAATTTATGAAGAAAATTCAATATGTTTGTGGTCAAATAGTTCTCTTTAATGGGGATTAGAAATTCAAAACTTTTTTTATTCTTCTCAGTGTTGTTTTATAGATTAACAGAAACTATAATTAATTAAAAACTTGAACATTAATTTAAATTGTCGTGTCTTCCTGGTCATTTTGATGCTGAACTTTAACCTAGCAGTATAGTATTACTTTTTATAATAAAATGTCTAGAATAGTTGAATATATCCAAGTTAAAGCAACAACGCAGAAAATGATGAGGAAAAGGAAATCCTGTTTATTTAGTTCCTCTCACATCAAAATACTATACAGTAATTACCAGAAAACTGTAGAATAGGACGACGACATTACAGCAATACTGAAGTGCTTTTAGCATCTATCTTTACTAGTAAGTTTTTAAGCACTTATGAAGTTAATCAAAGGCCGAATTTAAAGAGTTTGAGCCGCGGTTTAAATTTAAGCCAGGGCTCAAATTTTAGTGGTTCCACTTAAACCTGTATTAAATTTTTCACTTCAGTTCTAATATCCATCTATACACAGTTATGATTTCATGATTTCTTTTCATACAATTGCACGTAGAGTATAATCTAATACGTATATAGTATAATATCTTTCTCTTTTAAGTTACGATATCCATCCAAACACAGCACTGATATCCATCTAAACTCGGCTTTGATATTAAATCTTTAATTCATACGTACACAGTGCACACCTATAACCAAATTATATTCTCCTGTAAACTGATCTTTATGAATATGATATCTCAGCTCTTGTATGTACAGCTCTTTATGAATACAGCTGAGAAAATAAATCCTAGACGAGTAGTTAAAATCTATGACAAGTAGTAAAATTATAACAGACACGCACTCTTACTTACGGACAAGACGGCTACATTTTCATGGAAGTTAGGGGGGGGGGGTTACTGAGTCTTTAAGGGGAGGGTGATCCCTCTGATTGCCCTGGTTTCCCTGGCTCTCCTGGATCTCCTTGTTACCTATTGATCCTCAAGAAACCCATCAGACGTCCAGCTTACTCTTCCTCCTTTATTTATTTATAAACCCTTCCCTCACTGACGGCCCATCATGATTTAAAATTTCTACAAATAATTCTAAAGCTTAGAGGCGTATATAAGGGGTTGGAGGGTAGCTATCGGGGCACAGCCCCCTCCCTGGATCAGAAGGGGGATGCATATTTACGGGATGAGTATCCTGTGTCTAGTCAGGGATGATTGAAGGATGATTGAGGAAATTGATATTTTCATTTGTAATCGGGTTCCAAGATCAAGGATACATCCATTATTATTTTATATATTCGACTTTGTACAATGGGACAGAAGAACGAATGGGAGGGGGAGAATAACGAGATAACAATGCAATAAAAACAGGAATGAATTAAGCGTATTTAAAAATGTACCCAGTTGCCACATTTAATGTAAAAAAGTTGAGTCTTTGCCATATTTTAATCTTAGATAATTGGAATTTACAGTTTAAAATATCCACGATCTGCGACATCAGGTTGCAAAGATATATAGATTAGAAAATCAGAGTTTGTGGCAAAAACTCAATTTTTCATAATCTATAATGCTAGTATTGTTCACCTTATAAAAATATAGTTGAAATAATTTTATCCAAGGACTTGAATCTTTGCAACAAACTCGAATTTTCTAATCCCTAGATCTGTTCAACCTGATGACGAAAACCTTAGACATCATTTGATCTAACAGAATTTATAGTTTGAAATATATAAGGTCTACTGCATTGAATGGAAAAGATATAAGGATTAGACATAAGAGTTTGTGGCAAAAACTCAATTCCTTTGTCTGTGTACAATTCCCATTGCAAAATCGGTGTTTTTCATTCTTATTCTATCGTGAAACCCCTTGGTCTAACAGTCGTCTCTTCATCTTTCTCAGTTTCATGTGTCCCACTGTAGTAAATATGTTTAAATTACAAATAAACCTTTCTTTTGCTTTTTTCCCCCCCCCCCCTTTCCGAGCATATTTTTAAATGTAAGAGTGACCCGTTTTGCAAAGATGGCATTGCTCGATTCACAACGATATATACCCTTGAAACCTTTATCTGATCATTAATGCGGAAGATATGGTCGTTTTTCAAGGTTTAAAAGTGTGTATTCTCTATTAATTTACTTGTGATTTCCTACAGTAGAAAGGAATTGAGTTTTTGCCACAAATTCAGATTTTCTGATCCCTATATCTTTGCAATCCAATGTCGTAGTAAAGAAATCAATGATGAAAAAAAAAGTTTTCAAAATTGTAAACATTAATATCTAATTCATGCTGACCAAACGAAGCTATCAATGGTACCGAAGTGAATCTGGCAATGCTATCTCTGCATGAAGGGTTTGTTGAAATTACTTACAGTCCCTTCAAGATTGAGAGGGTATTGACAGACTTTATACTTGACGTTAAATGACGTTTATTACGTAAATGTTTACGACCATGATATGCGAATTAGGGGGGGGGGGGGTGCTAAGAAGATTAAGTTTTAGATCCTGGTATTTTAAGCAGAGTTAGGATGAGTATAAAATATTCGCCAAGGTAAGAATGGATGATGATTTTAGTCAGAATAATTTTACAGCCGGTAAAAATCATCATAAATAACTATAAACGAAAAAATCTCTAAAACCTTTAAAATTCCGTTCGAAAACCTTCCCTCTTTTTCTAAACATCGGTCAAGGTTGAAGCGATATAAATCAATTAATCATTGGTGTGTGTATACTGAATACTGTAGACGTTTATACTTTGTATATGTTAACTATTATTGAATTATTATTCAGTAGTTGAATACAGTAGTATGCATGGATGTATAGAAATATTATTCTTTACTATCATGTACATTTTGCAGAACCAAACAAAAGAAAAAAACTTAAATTAAAATTAAATTAAAAAATTAAAGGATCAACAACATAGCGATATTTTGCACAAAAGTTCAGACCTTCGAAATTTATGAGAGCAATTTGAAGGAGTTAAAATCTGCGATTCAATTCAGAAAATCCGCAATTTCTCTAAAAACATGGAAACTGTATAGAGTACAACACATAACTTGAGAAACAAACTATTAAAGAAGAGATAATGGACATTTCTTATGGAAAAAGTATTGCTGAAACCCTGTTTAACCTCTACAAGAACAATGATACAAACATGGTGAATATGGGGGATATCTTTGCAATGATTGATAACTCAGGGGTCAGAAGATCTGATCCAAGACTCTCAACTTTCCTTGGAAAAATAACAGAAAATTTTGGGCAACCTGCAGGAGAAGATTTGAACTCTTTCATCAGCAACTTGAATGCTGATGAAGAAACATTCTATAAACTTCTTGATGACAATCTAGTTCTTCTGTATCAAATTATCAGAAACGATGTTGTTATTCCTGACTGGGCATCCTTTACTGAGCAGGTCACTGAGATGTTTAATAAATGTAAGACTAATCAAGGAGGAGAGGTCGCTTCTTATATTCCACAGTTGGCTGCTTATGATCCAGACCTTTGGGGGATGTCAATTTGTACAATTGATGGACAGCGCTTCTCATTGGGAGATGTAAACACTAAATTTACAATTCAATCTTGCTCTAAACCATTTACATACGCAATCTGTCTGAGTGAGCTTGGGAATGAAGGTGTACATAAGTATATTGGTCAAGAACCATCAGGTAGAAACTTTAATGATCTGTCCTTGGATCCATCAAACAAACCACATAACCCAATGCTGAATGCTGGAGCAATTATGTCTTCTGCATTGATCTTACAAAATATATTACCCAGGGAAGGAGTGGCAGCGAAATATGAATTTCTTTTGAAATACATGACAAGAATGGCTGGCAATGAAGTCATTGGGTTCAATAATTCTGTATTTCTATCTGAACGTGAGAATGCATACAGAAACTTTGCTATGGCTTACTACATGCAGGAGAATAAATGTTTTCCAGAAGGAACAGATATCCATGATTGTTTAGACTTATACTTCCAGTCTTGCAGTTTAGAGGTTACTTCAGAATCCTTATCTGTATTAGGAGCAACTTTAGCTAATGGTGGAATTTGTCCTATTACCGGGGAAAATGTACTTAACCCCTGTGCTGTAAGAGATACTCTTAGTCTTATGTACAGCTGTGGTATGTACAATTACAGTGGACAGTTTGCGTTTAAAGTTGGGCTTCCTGCAAAGTCTGGTGTAAGTGGATGCGTGTTACTTGTAATCCCAAATGTGATGGCTATTTCTCTGTGGTCTCCACCAATCGACAGTATTGGGAACTCAGTTCGAGCATTGCAATTCTGTGAAGAATTAGTTAATGTATACAGTTTCCATAGATTTGAAAACCTCAACAACCTTGTCACACAGAAGATAGACCCAAGAAGACAATCCTATGAAGAAAAAACTCATGGTTCTCTGACCCTTTTCTTTGCTGCTATTACTGGAGATGTTTCTTCTCTTAATAGGTATGTCAAAACAGTTTTTTTGAAATTGATTATTCATCATTAAAGCTTAAGCACTAGGTCTAAATTTTTAATAAGTTTCTTTTTATTTTATTTAGGCACCATTTGCAAGGAGTTGATATGACCATCTGTGACTATGATGGAAGAACTGCATTGCATCTAGCTGCAGCAGAAGGCAGGATGCATGCTGTCAAGTTCCTGCTGGAGACATGCAGAGTTCCCCCCAGTCCCCAGGACAGGTGGGGGCATACACCTCAGGAGGAGGCCTTCAGGTTCAAACATGATGAAGTCGGAAGATTCTTTGATAATCATTTAAAATAAATGTAATAAATAAACACCTGAAGGTCAATAAATTATTTTTTTTTTACTGTTAAAGTAAACTAAATTATTGTTTACAAAATAGGAGTGAAATTAAAGATATAAAGGGATTAGAAAATCTGAGTTTGTAATAAAGATTCAATTCCTTGGCTTTTCTGATCCTTGTGCGTAGAATAAAACCCAGCTTAAGATCTTAGCAACGAGGTCATTAAGTCTTTCCAGTAATATTGCATACAACCTTCCCCTTCTGCCTAGCTTGTAGTGATATTCTTATATTTCACTCTTTATATTTATATATATTTATGTCTTGATATATATATTTATGTCTTGATGTATTTATATTCATGTCTTGATGTATTTATATTTCTGTCTTGATATATATATTTATGTCTTGATATATATATTTATGTCTTGATATATATATTTATGTCTTGATATATATATTTATGTCTTGACTTGATGTATTTATATTTATGTCTTGATATATTTATATTTCTGTCTTGATATATTTATATTGCTGTCTTGATATATATATTTATGTCTTGATATATTTATATTTCTGTCTTAATATATATATTTCTATATTTATGTCTTGATATATTTATATTTCTGTCTTAATATATATATTTCTGTCTTGATATATATATATATATTTCTGTCTTGATATATTTATATTTCGGTCTTGATATATTTATATTTCTATCTTAATATATATATTTCTGTCTTGATATATTTATATTTCTGTCTTGCTATATTTATATTTCACTCTAGATATATATATTTCTGTCTTGATATATTTATATTTCTGTCTTGATATATTTATATTTATCTCTTGATATATTTATATTTCTGTCTTGATATATTTATATTTCAGTCTAGATATATTTTCATTTCTGTCTTGATATATTTATATTTATATCTTTATATATTTATATTTGAGTCTTGATATATCTATATCTGAGTGTTAATGTATATAAATATGTACCTGGTTAACCCCTTATATTACTATGATAAATGGTTGAGGGTGCCCCCCTGCCCTTGCTTCCTTACTAAATTGATTAGTTTGTCCATTCATGGATATATCAACAAAAGATAGGATATTAGGATCCTTACTGTTCTTCCATTCATGGATATATCAACAAAAGATAGGGTATTAGGATCCTTACTGTTCTTCAATTCATGGATATATCAACAATAGATAGGATATTAGGATCCTTACTGTTCTTCAATTCATGGATATATCAACAATAGATAGGATATTAGGATCCGTATTGTTCTTCAATTCATGAATATATCAACAATAGATAGGATATTAGGATCCGTACTGTTCTTCAATTCATGGATATATTAACAATTGATAGGATATTAGGATCCGTACTGTTCTTCAATTTATGGATATATCAACAATAGATAGGATATTAGGATCCGTACTGTTTATCAATTCATGGATATATTAACAATAGAAAGGATATTAGTATCCGTACTGTTCTTCAATTCATGGATATATTAACAATAGAAAGGATATTAGGATCCGTAATGTTCTTTAATTCATGGATATATCAACAATAGATAGGATATTAGGATATATTCTTTTTTAAAAGACACATCGCACCCTAAACTAAAAAATGTCAAATGCTAAAATAAAAGACTCCGAAGTACATGATGTTTCGGGTTTTAATTTTGCATCCAAGAAGTAAAGAAACATTGTTGTTTTGGTTTCAGATCAAATTTTTATTTTAGAGAAGGTTATTTTGTCAAAAAGTTTTTTTGTGATTGCAGTAATTGTTTTTTTCATGGATTTTGTTCTTTATTTATTTAAATCAGTTGCAAAATACATTAAATTATTTACATAAAGAAAAAAAAACAAAGGTTTTTGCTTTCTAGATAGATTTATGTAAACCAAGATTTTTCACATCAATAAATAATTCTCAACTTAAGTACTTAATTTACAATTACAAGTATTAAATTAGAATCCGATATTTTAAACAAAGAATTCTGTTTTCAAAGATTGCAAATATATAAGGATTAGAAAATTACAGTCTGAGACAAGTGATCAGTTTGTTCCATATCTTACATTGAATATAACCCGTGTAAATGGATATCGATCAACTGATGTTAATAAAAGTTTTTGTCATGATAACCGTATTAATGTTTACAGGTAAGAATCATTGTAAAAATTATAAAACGAAAAAAAAATTACATCGTACAGAAGGATAGGCCATTGTCATTGTGGGCAAAATTCAAAAGTTCATAATTTTCCATCCATATTTTGTTTTCTCCATGAGTCCTTTTCCTTCCTATATATCACAGCTACCACAGGCCACATGGGCCAAATGTGTAACAGGTCCTTTACACGGTGGAGGGGGAAGGGTTGGAGGAGGTAGGGGGGGGGGGTAATAGATGAAGTTAGCTTGTTTTAATGATAAATCAAAGTATTTGGATCAATTAAATAAATGATGGTTTAATGGTTTAATTAATTGAAAATTTGATTAATAAAACATGATCATGAAAATAATGGTTACGAGAAGTATAGGGATTAGTTCCTCAATATTTCCATTAAATTCAAAACTGTTTTCACGAAACCAGGGAATGTGAGGAGCTAAATTGTATTTCTCAATCAATAACATTTTTAATTTGAATATAAAATTTGTAATGAATTAATGAATTTTTTATCAACATTTTGCCACAAAAATGAGACCCAAAAAACTGTGAAATAGTAAGACGAGTGTCAGACTCAGGTTATGATTTTAAGTATTCTATTAAACATGGAACACGGCAATCATAGAGTTTATCTTAAAGCTACTTCTAAAACTATTTGTTTCATAACAACGTTGAATACACTCAAGATTGATTAAACGTAAATGTTTAGAAAATACAATCTAAAACATGAGAGAGCTCGTAAATTTTTCGGGAGCCGCCAAAAAGTAAAAAAACTGAATGTTAAAAAACTATACATTGTGCATTCTTCAAATTTTAAAAAGTGTAACACTAAAAGCAAGTGAAAATTTCTAACATTTAATATGTTTTTTCTTGTTCATTTTACTTTAGGCATCGATTGATAAATACACACAATAAAAATTCTACTTAATAGAAAATCTTTTTAGCAGACTCTGTAAAAAATAAACCCTGTTTGTTGACACCACCCCACCCCACATGGTAAAATAAAATAAAAAATATATTTACAAGGATAATATTTATTTCATTAACTTTTTATTTATTAAAAAATATATGTTTTATTGAAAATTTGTCCAAATCAATTGTTAGAGAAGGAAACTCTCGGATCGTGGATATCGAGTCCAATGCTTAATCTCCGATTAAGAACAAAAACTCAAAAACCGGGTTTTAAAAATTAGAGAGTTCGCTTTTGTATATTAATCCTAAATGGCGCGCAAAATTTCAAATTTCCCGGCTTTTGATACGCCACTCTTATTGGTTGAATTTTGTACACTTTTCAGGATACAAGTGCAAGATCAGGCTAGTCTCGAAAACAGAGAGGATCAAGCATTGATCTCGATATCCACCATTATAAAGTTTCCAGCTCAGATTAGATAATTATCAAAGAATCTTCCGACTTCATCATGTCCGAACCTGAAGGCCTCCTCCTGAGGTGTATGCCCCCACCTGTCCTGGGGACTGGGGGGAACTCTGCATGTCTCCAGCAGGAACTTAACAGCATGCATCCTGCCTTCAGCTGCAGCTAGATGCAATGCAGTTCTTCCATCATAGTCACAGATGGTCATATCAACTCCTTGAAGGTAGTGCCTGAAAAAAAGGTTATACATAAAGCCAATGCAAGACTGATTGATGTAAAAAAAAAATAATAAAAATACACCCCTAAGATATGAAGCACGAGGTTACTTAAAAGGCCTCACTGTTACAGTAATAAGCTATCCATGAAATAAACTATAAATTTCATTGCAAGCAAAATAGGGCATAATTCTGTTCTAAACTTACTTAAATTTTAAAGTTTTTATTTTTCAAAATTAATAAGAATTGATCGTTGTAGGCAAGTATTTGGGAAAAGTGTAACAAATCGAGAAAATTGTGCATGAAATTCCTTGCTGTGAAGGAACCCCAAGGTATACCTGTGTAGGGAAGAAACGTCTCCAGCAACTGCAGAGAATAGAAGAGTAAGTGTGTTGAGAGTTTTTAGCTCATGAGTTTGTCTTCTTGGGTCCATTTTCTGAGAGACTAGGTTGTTAAGGTTTTCAAATCTATGAAAACTGTAAACTTCAACCAGCTCTTCACAGAATTGCAATGCTCGTTCTGAATTTCCAATACTGTCGATTGGTGGAGACCACAGAGCCACTGCCATCAAGTTTGGGATTACAAGTAACACGCATCCACTTACACCAGACTTTGCAGGAAGTCCAACTTTAAACGCAAACTGTCCGCTGTAATTGTACATACCACAGCTGTACATAAGACTAAGAGTATCTCTAACAGAAGAGGCATTTAGAACATTTTCCCCTGTAATAGGACAAATTCCACCATTAGCTAAAGTAGCTCCTAATACAGATAAGGATTCTGAAGTAACCTCTAAACTGCAGGACTGGAAGTATAAGTCTAAACAATCATGGATATCTGTTCCTTCTGGAAAACATTTATTCTCCTGCATGTAGTAAGCCATAGCAAAGTTTCTGTATGCATTCTCACGTTCAGATAGAAATACAGAATTGTTGAACCCAATGAATTCTCCACCTGCTATTCTTTTCAAATAATTCAACAGAAAATCATATTTCTCTGCTAAACCAAGACAAGGAAATATCTTTTTGAGAATTAATGCACATGACATCATGGCTCCAGCATTCAGCATTGGATTATGTGGTTTGTTTGATGTATCCAAGGACAGATCATTAAAGTTTCTACCTGATGGTTCCTGACCAATATACTTATGCACACCTTCATTCCCAAGCTCACTCAGACAGATTGCATATGTAAATGGTTTGACGCAGGACTGAAGAGTAAATTTCTCATTAACATCTCCCAATGAGAAGCGCTGACCGTCAATTGTACAGATTGACATTCCCCAGAGGTCTGGGTTGTAACGTGACAGCTGTGGTATATAAGAAGCGACCTCTCCTTCTTGATTGTCTTTGCATCTATTAAACATCTCAGTAATCTGATTAGTGAAGGATTTCCAGTCAGGAATAATGATATCATTCCTGACAATCTGATTTAATAAAACAAGGTTATCTTCGGTTAGTTGACAAAATGTGGTTTCATCAACATGCAAGTTGCTAAGTGTAGTGTTTTTTTCTCCTAGATGTTCATGAAGAATAGAAAGTTTAGACAAGAAAGTTGCGAGTCTAGGATCAGATCTTCTGATCCCTGATTTTTCAATAACTGTAAATATCTCACTCATATTCATCATGTGAGTTTCTTGGTTCTTGTAGAGGTTAAACACTGTCTCAGCAATACCTTTCCCGTCAGAATTTCTTAAATTATCCACTACAGCAGCTCCAGTATGTAATTCTACTTTAGGTTCAGTATTTACTGCAGAATGAAACCAGTTCTTGTTGTTTCTAGATACAGAGGATGGTTGAATATATTTTAGAAGCATTGATCCTGCCTCTTGTGCTCTTCTTCTTGACTTCATATTTGTTTTTACACTTTTACGTGATAGAATAAATCTGTTTTCTTCTGCTTTCGTACTTTGAATGAAACAGCTTTGTATAGGTATGTTTATATATACTGGGTCACTTAAAGTCTAAGATCAACTGCTATGCATAAAACCAGAATAGTAAAAGATTGCATCTTTAAAAACAGTAATAAATTTATTTTAAACTTTTGGCTTTTATATTAAAAGTACAATTAACAAAATATATAACAAATGACACTTTAAAAATCAGAAAAAATAAAAACTGTTTTGAAATTTTCTCTATTTCGATTATAAACATTTCTGTAAATTTTACTTTTGTGAAGAATATTCTGTCTCGATTCCCTGTGTCCGACTGGGGATATTCAAATTGACCGTTTCATAAAAAACATTCTGCCTGAACAGAGGGAGGGGGGGGGATGGAAATTCAGTGAAAGTTTTTCACTGACGTCATAGCCCCAAAAATGCTGACTTTCATTATATTTTTAATTCAAATATTTTTTAATCTCAGAGTAAAGATATTGCTTTTTTAAATTTGAAAGCTAAAAAATAAATATTTTTCAAAAATAAAAGAAAGTAAAATCACTGTAACATAAAAAGAAAGGTTAAGAAGGAAAATACACATGGACACGTGGAGTTCCCCCGCAAAGTTTTTTTTATTAAACAGTTTAATGTTTTTTTTGCAGTACTTTAAAGTACTTCATGCAACTCATGCTGTTTATCTATCTATCCCGTATTAAAGTACAAAATACAAGATTGGAATATATTTTAATAACATCTTTTATTGATCTGGTTTAATGACTTGTTTAAATATTGATATTATTGCAGCAACAAGTATTTTTGTTAGTTTTAAATGTGGGAAGTAGAGGGTTATTGTTAATCCTGAATACTTAATCGCGATATTCAATACGGGCATTTTGAAATTCAAGGATAAATGCTTTATCCCTTAATTAAAGATATCCTTAAATCCTGCAAAAATTTATTTTATCTGCATAAGATGGAGTTCAATGCTTAATCCCCAGATTCACAACAAATTCTGGCCACAAAATCAGAACAAAATTCTAAGTATCCATGACAATTTTGAAGGTTCGAAAGCACAAAAAATTTTGATAATGTTTGTGTTTAGATTTTCAGATAAAAAGAAATTCAAAAGTTTTGGAGTATTTAATTTAAAGTGAATTGGAAAGATTCTGTTTTTTTTTCAGCCAGAATATTTTTATAACTATTTTCGTCTTCCCAGAAAGGAAGGGGATGGAAAGCCACAATTAACTCCAAATTCAATATACAAAACACCAGAGATGAGATTTTAAAAGCTTAAACTCGAGTAAAACCCGGGCTTTGCGTCTGCTAAGACCCAAGTAAAGCTCAAGTAAAGACCCGGGTTTTGGATGGCCTTGAGTTTAGTAAAAACCATCCACCCTGGGTTTTTCTCTTTTCTAGGCTCGGGTCTTCTGCAGCTGATGATAGTAAATTTCGAAAGAACTTTTATATTTATACATTTAAAATCTCGGGAATTATTTTTAGTGTGATATTTGATCAAAGGTATGAAATAAACATACTTTATAAATAATGTATCTAAGCTAGGTTTTCCAACGCAAGATGCTTTTACTTGCGCGCAATTGCGTGCCCTTGCACGCAAGTAAATTTAATTGCGCGCAATTCCGTCATACTTGCGTGCAATAAACGCAACAAAAATTGTGCGCCATAGCGCGCAATACCGTCCAACTTTCTTGCATTTGTGTTTCAATTTCTTTTTTATAATATTCAATTTAAACCTTATGGCACTCAATAAATGCAACAAAAACTCAATTTAAACTTTGGTAGTGGCATACAATAAACTGATCTTCATTAACATTTATGTCACAAATGCTTTGCTTTATAATTTTCATTTGCAGCTTGATAACCTACCAGAAAATTCTGATATAGAAAGAGGACATTTTAGACTCACGCAAACCCATTTAATTAAACAAGTCATTTAATAAGTTACTAATTAACGTTTTTTTTGCTTTGTAACGACATCAAATACACTGTGATGTTGTTTTTCTGTACCATAGTTTTCTGGTTCTCACTGTAGCAAAATATCTAATTTTGACTAAACATAAACCTTACAATTTCAACCAAAATGTTTCCATTGTTATGTTCATCAAATGTGAACAAATGAAAAATGTATGATATTAAATTGTTAATTAGTAGCTTAACCACAAGAAACTTTTAAATTTGAAAACTGTTAAATCAATTGTTAAACTCAGGCCTTGATTATTTTAAAATCTACAGAGATATTTCCATCTTCTGATTCTGCAAAAATTTGTAAGTCACAGTTAAAATTATTGAATTTTAGATGGAAAAGCAATTCCGTTGCACGCAATTCCCCCAATATTTAATGGCTTCCTTGTTCGCAATTATAGCGCAATTGCGCGCACTGAAATGGCGCAAGCGGAAGCAACCATTGCGTGCAATTCCGCGCAATTGGGCGCAACGGAATTCCGATTGGAAACCCTACTAACCCTAACCCTAAGTAAAGTTCGAATTTTCGAAATTTACATCTCCTTGTCACAGCTGATCTGCTAGTAATCTGTCTGCTACAGAGAGAAAGCTTTCTAAGCAGTCTCTAATTGGTCGAATCAGAGCCAATCCTGACGTGGGTTCTATCTGAGACCAATTCTGGGTTTCACTCGGGTTTAAGCTTTTAAAATCTCATCTCAGATTTGCAGAATAACATAAGAACCCCGCAAATTCTCTCTCTGTTCAAGGCCTTTTAACATCACATTCGCTAATGTTCTCTACCTATATATGTACTTTGCTTGTCTGTCTGGGTGTCTGTTAGGATGTTTGCATACAATAAACGTCAAAACGACTGAACCGATCGGGCCCAAATTTTGTATAGAACCTCAAATCACCCCAGGCAAGGTTTATGGAAAACCAGAATTTCAAAAATTAGCCTCCAACATTCGATTTTTTTAAAATTTTGAAAATCCATGAAGATTTATTAAGAAATGCACGATTTTTTATTGAAACTTTGAAAGCCTAGTATATTTATACTTTGCATGTCTGTCTGTCAGTTTGTTTGTTTGTTTGTTTCCAAGAAACGCAAAAAAGGTTGAGCAGATTTGGCCAAACTTTGTAAGGCAACTTACGTGATCCCAGGAAAGGTTTATTGATCTTAAGAATTGGAAAAATTTGCCTTAAAAATATTTAAAAAATAAAAATATTTTTTAAATCCAAATGCAAAGTGCCTTAGAAGCCTAGTTTTTATTTTTACTTTGCTTGTCTGGGTGTCCGTCCGTTTGTATCCAATACACGTAAAACATCATGACTCCAGGAAAGGTTTATGGCTGTTTAAAATTTTGACAAGAAAATATGCCGATTTCTTTTTGAAAATGCATCATTTAAAACAGAAAATACGTGAAATAGATTACAAATGGCGACTTTCAGAGTTCAAAGCTAAAATTGTTAATAGGAATAGTGGCGCAAAGCGCCCTAATTGTCCAGTGTATATATTAAAGCTGCATGGTAAATGAATTTGTACTGTAGTCTTTAGTTTAGTTTAGTAGATACACTCGTATTTATATTAAAATATATAATTTCTAATTGAGATTTATTTTGCGGATTTATGTGCAGTGAAGACTAAGAAAGAAATAGGCTGAATTTAAAATTTTAATCCATATATACTTTGCTTGTCTGTCTGTTTGTTAAAGTCAGAAAAACGACGTTATTTTTCACATTGTTGATCAGATTATAAGGTTTCAAGGGTACCATTGTCAACTCACGAGGATTTAACGGTTCTGCCAGTGTTCCAGAAAGCTGTGACTTTCGATCACAATTTGACCCATTAAACATAATTTCTTAACTACTTTTTTGTCGGCATATGCATTTTGAATGAAAATGTATGAAATAAACAAATCCGTAAAGCAAATGATTATTGAATTATAGACCAAACACATTTGATTTCAAATTGAAGAAGCCAAATGCTGCTCAATCTGGTTAGTTAGGTTTAATGGATTACCATTGTAAATCCTTCATCAGACAAAGGTTTAATGGATTACCATTGTGAATCTCCTTGATCAAACAAAGGTTTAATGGATTACCATTGTAAATCCTTCATCAGACAAAGGTTTAATGGATTACCATTGTAAATCCTTCATCAAACAAAGGTTTAATGGATTTAAATTGTAAATCCTTGATCAAACAAAGGTTTAATGGATTACCATTGTAAATCCTTGATCAGACAAAGGTTTAATGGATTACCATTGTAAATCCTTGATCAAACAAAGGTTTAATGGGTTATCATTGTAAATCCTCGGATCTTGATCTAACAAAGGTTTAATGGGGTATATGTAAATCGGTTTCTTATTTTAGCATTTTCTTTTTTTTGCAAAAAATTGATATATGTAAAACGTCCCAAAATAATTCCAAAACAATTGCAAAAACGATCGAGTTGGATCGATCGTTTTTCGTTTTTTGTTTTGTTTTTAGGATAAAGACATAATAAAAGAAAACTTTCAAATCTTAGAAGTAAAATTTTTTTTGGACGTTTTACATATATCATTTTTTTGCAAAAAAAAAGAAAATGCTAAAATAAGAAATTTAGAAAACGTTTTCTTTTCTTACATTACGTCAAACTTTATTTCCGAAAGAAAATATATGCAAAATCGACCCCAAAACTAACCATCTGAAGGCACATCACGATATTAACACAAATTAGCATCAATTTTCAATACTTGGACGACTTTTAAGTGTCGCGACGCCGGTCTTAGCCTTTGATTTTCATCACTAACTCTCTTCAGCCTTAGACATGTACATTTTTAAATAAGCACTTGTATTCAGCCTAAGTTTTCAAGAAGTGATTGTCAAAATTGTCAGAGATTTTTACGTGAGAGCCTGCAACCTTAATATCAATGTAGCCACTCCATAGATGGTGAGTCATTTTAAATTTCATCTACAGTCCCTTAAAAAATGTAGTAGATCTAATCTAGCAAAAACATACTTTTTGAACTAGAGACATTCGTAGTTATGAAAAAATGCACAAAATTAAACTTTATTTTTTAGCTTCAAATCTTTCCAACAATGCTCCGACTTCATCATGTCCAAATCTGAAGGCCTCCTCCTGAGGTGTATGTCCCCACCTGTCCTGGGGACTGGGGGGAACTCTGCATGTCTCCAGCAGGAACTTGATCGCATTCATCCTGCCTTCTGAAGCAGCTAGATGCAATGCAGTTCTTCCATCATAGTCACAGATAGTCATATCAACTCCTTGAAGGTAGTGCCTGAATAAATAATCTTGAATGTGATGGTACAATTGACACAAAAGAGTTGGCAATATTCATCTGCTATTGGTTTGACTGGAAACAATTTGAAATAGTACTCTACTGAACGAATGATTTTATTGAACAAACGATTTTACTGAATGATTGTCCATGGTGAGAAAACAAACGAAATAGATTGAAAATTAACAATAAATTTTAGAACGAATAAAATTATTTAGTTTGAACGATTGAAAAAAAAAACTAACGAAATGGATCATTCACAAACAATTAAAATTAAATTTTTTAAATCAAACGAGCCCATTGTTAATCCTGAGTGCTTTAAAGGGACTGGCCGGCAATGTATAATAGTTGAACTGAGAACGTAGTATTATAAATTAATACTACGCAAATTCAGTCTTTAAAATCCTCATCGATTTTTCATTTTTGAGGGATGATTTGGAAAATCAGTCTTTTAAAAATTATTCAATGACGACCACGACAAATGTAACAAAAATTCGTTGTTGTTTAGGAACAGATAGTTAAATATCATCGAAAATAACTAATCCTATTTAGTTTCTGTAATGTATCATTGTTCACAAACATTTTCTGTAGATATCCTGCAATTTGTATTAAAAAGACGACATTTGAAAATTTTCAAGAAATCTGCGAAGAAATTTGTTAAGAATAAGATATTCTCATTCTGCATTCTCAGTTCAACTACAATAAATTGCCAGTCACTCCTTTTAATCTAAAAAAAACAATTGTCAGTTTCCTTATTTTACCTGTGTAAAGAAGCAAGATCTCCAGTTACTGCTGAGAAAAGTAAGGAAAGAGTGTTCATTGTTTTTAGCTCATGAGGTAGTCTTCTTGGATCAGTCTTCTTGGAGACACGATTACAGAGAGTTTCAAATCTATGGAAACTGTATACATTAACTAATTCTTCACAGAATTGCAATGCCCGAACTGAGTTCCCAATACTGTCGATTGGTGGAGACCACAGAGAAATAGCCATCACATTTGGGATTACAAGTAACACGCATCCACTTACACCAGACTTTGCAGGAAGCCCAACTTTAAACGCAAACTGTCCACTGTAATTGTACATACCACAGCTGTACATAAGACTAAGAGTATCTCTTACAGCACAGGGGTTAAGTACATTTTCCCCGGTAATAGGACAAATTCCACCATTAGCTAAAGTAGCTCCTAATACAGATAAGGATTCTGAAGTAACCTCTAAACTGCAGGACTGGAAGTATAATCTGTTCCTTCTGGAAAACATTTATTCTCCTGCATGTAGTAAGCCATAGCAAAGTTTCTGTATGCATTCTCACGTTCAGATAGAAATACAGAATTATTGAATCCAATGACTTCATTGCCAGCCATTCTTGTCATGTATTTCAAAAGAAATTCATATTTCTCTGCCACTCCTTCCCTGGGTAATATATTTTGTAAGATCAATGCAGAAGACATAATTGCTCCAGCATTCAGCATTGGGTTATGTGGTTTGTTTGATGGATCCAAGGACAGATCATTAAAGTTTCTACCTGATGGTTCTTGACCAATATACTTATGTACCCCTTCATTCCCAAGCTCACTCAGACAGATTGCGTATGTAAATGGTTTGGAGCAAGATTGAATTGTAAATTTAGTGTTTACATCTCCCAATGAGAAGCGCTGTCCGTCAATTGTACAAATTGACATCCCCCAAAGGTCTGGATCATAAGCAGCCAACTGTGGAATATAAGAAGCGACCTCTCCTCCTTGATTAGTCTTACATTTATTAAACATCTCAGTGATCTGCTCATTAAAGGATGCCCAGTCAGGAATAACAACATCTTGCTTTGCAATCTGATTCACGAGAACAAGATGTTCATTTGTTAAATCATAGAATGTGTTGATATCTACATTCAGGTTATTTAATGACACACCATGCAGTGCTTTATATTTTGATATTTTATGCAGCATGTTTGAGAGTCTGGGGTCGGATCTTCTGATCCCTGTTTTTTCAATCGCTGATACTAATTTCCCCATGTTGATCATATTTGTATCATAGTTCTTATAGAGGTTAAACAGGGTTTCAGCCATACCTTTTCCACCGGAGTCTTCTAGCTTGTTTACCATTGCATGCCCAGTATGTATCTCTGCTTTAACACTTCCAGGGTGGAACCATTGGACTTTATCACTCCAGCAACATTTAGAATACTTCTTAAAAAGTAAAAATCTGACACTTCTTAATTCATTGCTGAAGTTCATTCTTACTGTTCGAAGTATCATAAATCCAAAAGTTCTATTGGATCTAAATTATACAGATCTTCACATCTATAAAAATATAAATATTCCACCCTAACCCCATGCATAAAAATTAAATTTTATTTCAGCAAAAAAACAAGCATTTATAAGCTTAGAATTACTAAATAGAATGCCGGAAAATTGAATATGAAAAATGAATATATTTTAAATATCCTTATAAAACAATTATTTCTACTTATGATATTGTTTGTAAAGATATGAAGATCCCTGGAGCAAGCGTATACTGATGTATAACAAGAAGATCTGAAACCAACTGTGCTCTCAGTGTAATACAAACCAGAACTTGTTTGATTAGATCTTTAAAAGTACAGTTGGTTTAGCTTAGCATGATTTTACCTAAATATTGGGATACTCTAGATATATTCAGAATAAACAGGTTTAGTGTACTAGGCATTCAGGGCGCTTGGCGGCCATCTACTATTTCAATTTAAACATTTTCTCTTTGTGTACATGGTAAATCAAAAACAAAAACTTCGAAGATTTTATAAAAAAAAATTCGTGGATTTTAAACATTTTATGGAAATCGACTTATGTTGTAGGCGTATTTTTTTATCATTCATAAACCTTCCCTGGGGTCTGGTCAGGTCTCACAAAAAATATGGGCCGGATCGGTTCAGCCGTTTTGACGATTATTGGCTACAAACAAACAGACAAGCAAAGTATATAGATACATGTTTAGTGTTAAAGAGACTTTAAGCGCAATTTCAAGTAACCCTCATTGCAAAGCTGGCAGTGTCTAGTTGACAACGCTACCATTGAAACATTAATCTGATTAAAAATGTGGAATTTACCATCGTTTTTACGACTCGAAACATGTTTATTTCCGAAAGTTTACCCATTGCTTTTATAAGCAAGAAATGCGCAAGTTACTTTCATAGAAAACCTAAAAACAAAAATAAATATTTTAAAGGATGAAAAATTCGCATATCTAATCTATACATGATCGGACAAAGCTTTCAAGGGTGCTGTTGAAAACCGGGGATTGCTTGAGGATCTCTTAAAATAAGCGTTTTGGTAATATTTAGTTTTGACACGTTTTACACTCTCTAAATACAAAAAAAAATTTTTAGTTTTATTATCTCTACGCACATATAACAAATTATTATGAAGGTGTACTTTACTCTTTTCATCAAAGAATATACTGCACAATCATTTCTTACTGTAAAATCCCGTTGTAAACTAAAATGGCTTGGTTTTACATCTCAAAAATTAATTTTCTCTAATTTTTTGTGTTTTATTGTATATTTTCTAAATTCAAACGGCATGCCAGTTGGAGGAATTGCTTGAAAGGAGGCTTGGAAAAATTTTGCAAATATGTTTGATACTTGAAATGAGTAAAGTTAGAGTTGTTTAAAAGTTTATTTGATCTTCACTCTTATTCTATACATAAAATATTCAGCTTTAATTATAAATTTTAAGATTATCTCTGCACAGAATCTTCAAAACTTAAAGATGCGAAAACAGTTCGTAAAATCAAATCTTTGCCACAAATTCTAACCCCCATATCTTGAAATCTGATGGTAAAAACCTTTGAATTAAAATCGGAGTTTGTGGCAAAGACTTGATTTTACGTACATTTACTATAAAAACAAATTTGAGCTCATATTTATAAAGGCACTATTAATTACTTTCCTAAAATTCTAATTTTTTAATCCTCATGTCTTTTTTTGAAGAACGTTGACATTTTAAAATTTGCAAGACTAAGTTATCAAAGTTTGAAATATCAGAGATGTGCACCATCAGGTTGCTAAGATAAAGTGTTGAGAAAATAAAGGTTTGAGGCGATTTATCTGTTTCTTTAGAGTTCACTCCAACAATTTTACAGTTTTCTACGAGGTCTCAGGTCTAAATTTTTTTTTAAAAGTTCACTATATTTGTATTTGATACATTTTTGGTAAGGTTGGCGTCAATCAGATTGTTGTTGTGATGTAAGGAATGTTCTCCTGGAGGTGGATTAGCTTCGTTGTCACAGCATAGGAATATCTAGAATATGGATCAGAGAAAGGGAGGCTTTGTTTCCCCCCAAAAAAAATTGTATTAGACAATGCAAAAACCAAGCAGAACTCTTAAACCCAACAAATATTGAAAATTGTTCAAACCATATAAGCAAGGGTTCAAGAAGTATGTTTGCCAGATGGCCTGATATATGCTTTTACATTGTAAACACAGTTGTAAAGCAAGATTTAGAAATGACAAAGATCTTGATTAAATTGATTAAGGACCAAAGGGATTACATTGATTATTGATCTCAAATGTAAATCAAAACCAGATACATCCTCAAAAGCCCTTTACACCTACAATACTCAATCTCTTTTTTCTTTTGATTGCTCTTAAAGGGTCTTAAACAGACTCTGATGGATCAAGTTTGAGACCATTCGGAAATTTTTTTTGTTGTGACGAACGAAGCTAGTTACTTTTGACAGTACGCTTCGTGCATTACAACAAAGATCTTAAAATAATCCGGTATAGACAAAGTGAAATTTCAAAAAAAAATACAGGACTGAAACTTCTGGAAGCACCCCTGAACATTTTTTTAGCGGAACTTGTTGATCACATCTCGTAAATAATATTCACCTACTGAAGAGATTTGTCAGACTGAAATTTGTTGAAAAAATGACATATATGGTCGGTTAAAAAATAACTGAAAAAGCCAAATTTGTATCCTTCATCGAGTTAAGCTAAAGTGTATTTGATCAAAGCTGTGTCTTTATTTTGACACCAAGGCCTGTATAAACTTAACCACTAATTAGGTTTGGTTTGGTATATTCGAGAAATCTTCTCCTGGTTTCCTTAGTATACTAAACTAAACTACTAAACTACTAAACTACTAAACTACTAAACTACTAAACTACTAAAATACTAGACTACTAAACTACTAAACTACTAAACTACTAAACTACTAAACTACTAAACTACTAAACTACTAAACTACTAAACTACTCAACTACTCAACTACTAAACTACTAAACTACTAAACTATTAAACTACTAAACTACTAAACTTCTAAACAACTAGACTACTGAACGACTAATTTACTAAACTTCTTTACGACTAAACCACTAAGCTACTAAACTAAACCAGAAAACTATGGTATAGTAAGACGACTTTGAGAAACAAGTTTTAACTTTAAAAAGTTCAACAACCATGAAAAACAGCAATTTTGCAGTGTAAGCAGACCCATTTTACAATATAAGTAATTTTATAAGTGTTTGGTAAAAATATTTGCTTTGTAACACCAAATACACTTAAGTATTGTAATAATGTCGGATCTTCCTATTTCATTGTTTTCTGGTTATCTCTGTACTATTCAGCTACTGAATTCCTAATTTACTAAACTATTGTATAAGATATGTATGTTTTTATGCCAATAAATTAAAATATATAAATATATCCTTGATGTCTGTTTTTATGTACTGCCTGTCAGCTGGTATTTACATCAACTTGTTTGTCTGTATTTTATTACTTTGAATTTGAAAAGATCACTGAACTCTACGTGAGGAATATTTATCATATGGATAGATAGACAGATAGACAGAATAGACAAATAGACAGAAAGACAGATAAACAGAGATACAGATAGACAGATAGACAGATAGACAAATAGACAGATAGACAGATAGACAGATAGACAGATAGACAGATAGACAGATAGACAGATAGACAGATAGACAGATAGACAGTAGGGGTTAAGAGTGGGGGGGAGAACATATCTGAAGCAGGGTAGAAAAGGAGGGGGGGATACATGCATGCTAAGAGAAGGGGGGGGGGTTGAATATATTTATACTGAACCTAAACCTAATATAGTTCCCTTGTGGTTTCTTTACCTCTAACCTCTCCATCTTGGATACAGGGTGTCTCAGAAACCTGTATTTTCTCATAAATAAATGACATTTTTTAACAAGACATTATAATCTACAAAAATATATATGAGGCAGAAACTTATGAAGAGATAGTGCTAATCTACAACGCCTGAAAACAATACCCACAGTGGATGCATTAAAGCGACTAAGGACTTTTTCCGACCGCTTAATTAATCTGGAGATTAATAACAAGAGGAGAACAAGCATTATTTAATCTGGAGATTAAGAAAAAGAGGAAATCGAGCATTGATCTCGATATCCTCTATTTTAAAGTTTTCAGCTCTGGTTAGAGATTCTCCATACGTGTATTGACCTAGATCATTGATCTTCAAAACCAAAGATATCCAAAAGGATTGAAATAAATCTGTCTAACTACAAAGAGATACAGATTAGCGAAAGGAATTGAATCTTTACCACAAACGCTAATGTTCTAATTTCTATATCTTTGCAACCCAATGTCATAACTCTTAGATATTTCAAACAATGAATTCTATTGGATCAAATAATTTTATTTTGAAATATTAAAGGTTTATACAATCAGGTTGCAAAGATATAGTAGTTAGAACATCTTTGTTATGGAGATATATTATTGTTTTTCTATACTGAAAATTAAAAAAATTCCATTGAAAACAGAAAACAGAAAAAATTTGTTTACTTAAAAAGTACAGAACATTTTTTGGTAAGGTATAATTTATTTCTAATATAATAATTTGTGTAGGTGAATATTACCTAATTATCACCAAGAAAAAACATAGTAAGCAAAGATGTGTAACTTTTGTTACATCTTGCTCCGGGTAGAACAAAAGACAACGGTAACATATCAAGGTTTGATTTTATTTTATTTTGGACACCCTGTAGTTTATATTTACAGAATACACATTACAGTCAACCTTTCTCAGGAGAAATGTAAAGAAACCTGGGTTTAGTTCAGAAAATAAAGAAAAAAGAAAAAGCATAAATACAGGACATAATCTTTCCAAGCAGATATAATTGCTTGAAGCATGATTTAGAGAAATGCAAACATTAGAAAAAATATAGACATCAACTTCATCAATCCCAGACAATGTTTTCATGTATTTTACGACCACCAGACCCCTTGAACCTAAATATAACAGTTACTATATAAATCTTTCTAAGATGTAAGAATCAATATCGAGTTTTTACTTATAATATCTGGAATCTGGGAATATTGGATTTATGGGACGACGGAAGGGATTGTCAACGAAATTCGAAGAAATCATTTAATTAAGACGATTTTTTAAATAATTAATTGAAACTATTTAAACAATTCCTTTCTTCGATAGAGTCCAAGAAATTGAAGTGGGTCATCGTTATTCATTTTAGATTCAAACATTTCGTCATTGAGCCAATAAGTTTCTATTAATAAAGAACCCACAATTGAAAAT